CACATTAATACATCACATCATCACAATAGCAACTACAACCGAACAAGTCGCTCACTTATAGTGCAGCGCAACCGCGTCGCATTTGGATAGCTTTTGCTGCTGCCGCCGCCATCGCCGCCGTCGCCACTGCTGTGGACGCAGCGGCAGTAAATGAATCGTGTAGCAGCAGGAGTTCAGAGACGTGCGCATTTGGCGATCGTATTTCTTTACGAGACCATTGTATTTACGCGCCAAGCTATCGTGAATCTGAATTTTGACGAAGAATTTTGGTTCCCGTAACGATGTCTAACAATAAAGGTTTGCTTTCAAGCAGTCATGTTTTTTTTTAGTGTTTTTTTAGTGCTTGTAATCAATGTGCCCAAGTAGCCTTAATGGGTGATTCTTTGTTGTTATATAATAACATAGGCATTATTATGAAATCCTCTTCTTGACTTGATGTCTCCCCTTAACAAATTTTTCTTTCATCTTTCTAGTCCTGAAAACAAAGGAGAGAAGTCTCCATCTATTTTTTCTCGTAATATGAATGAAAGGCCAACTGGGGGTTTTGAAGGATTAGAGGAAGAAGAGAGACAGAGAACGAAGCAGGTAGGGATGAAAACAAAACAAAACAAAACAAAGCAAAAAGAAAAAAAAAAAAAGACTGAAATGAATTTTTATAGAAATTCTTTATTTCTCGTGGTTTATAAATATAATTCTTTGCTGCCCGTTGCTCAACAGTACCCGGCAGCAAAATCACATATACGGATTTCACAGCTGGGAGGTTTAAAAAATTAAATGTAAACGGAATACTCTCTTCGTTTTTCGTTGGGTAATAGGTAGTTTAAGTGACTGTCGTTATTACGATATTTTCCTGCTGAATCCAAACAAGTTTTTTCTTTACCCTTAATGTTTTCAAGTATTAGGACTTTATGGTGGTTCATAATTAGCAATACTTTGTCAATAACTCAAAAAACTTGATCGAAGAACTAAAACCTACCTGATTGTAAAAATAATTGAAATTAGGCAGATTTTAGTTTACCACTTAGCCGTTTAACTTCACTTGAACTAATAGCAAAAGTTTTGATAAGTTTGGCCAGCTCTTCTGTTGCGTTTAATCTTAATTTTTGTCCATTGATTAAGCACGATTAAATTTCTCTTTCTTTTTTTCGTTATTTTCACAAGTAAGTTTAATCAGTTAGAGTCTGCAATTTAAAATTATTTCAGTATTTGTTAAACAGTAATTTTTTTTT